TCCTGCACCTTAAATACTCGTCTTTGAAGGAAAGCAAGTGAGTCTTCCTTTCCTCAACTTCTGCCTATCTCCTACTGTAAGCTGCATGAGTCAAAGGTTCTTACTGTGTATTCTTGTAGTGTGGGACATAGCAGGCCCTAGATTTTGATGGAAAACTACATATTCTATAGAAAGTAATTTGTATATAGACAGGCTCCAATATGATTTGGACATCAGTTCTTATGAAGGCGCTCTCTACTTTTTTTCTCTCCCAATAAATCACTATTATGGATTGAGTATCTAGTAAAACTGTCAACAAATAGTTAACCTCAATTCTAAAAACTAAAGCTCAGATAGAGAAATTTTGAAATTCCATCATTGTTGAATCCCTCAAAGCAAGGGTTTGAGATGATGGACCCCTTTATCGTCTGTTATTTTGTTATTTTTTGTGTAGTAATTATGAGCTAATTACAAAGCATTTATATATACATGTATAAAGTGATTTAAAAAAACAAAGTGAATGTATTTGAGTGCTATTCTATAGGCAAAAGAAAAAGGAAGTTCAAAAAAAGTTTTGTAATTAGTTTGTTTTTCTCTGGGGAAGAGATGGCTTTGCCTGGAAGGGATGAAGCTCCCAAGGCATGGATAAATACTAGGCATGAAGTGGAAAGGAAGAGACTGTAGTCAGTGTTCTGACTGAGTTGTGTCTGTATGAATCCCATGGGGAGTGCTAGACAGAAAGAAAAAGTAAATTTTGAATCTTGAATAGAAATTTGAGGATTTATGTGTTACAGCTACATGTCTCTGGACCTTGATCCTCTATCTTTACTTTGACCTTAATCTAGATTTGTGTTGAGGGAGATTTCATTGCAGCAGGTAAAATTGGGTCATTTTGTTCCCACAGCCCTTGAAATCAAAGTGCTGGGCCAGTCCTGTTTGCAGCCCTTGGTATGCAACAGGCTGCTGAGGTTTCCTGGTGGTAAAGAGAGTATTTCACCACTTTGCTGCATGAGCAGGTATAAAAGTTGGTAATAGGCATGTATTTATTAAAAAAAAAAAAAAGAGGGAGAGGAAAGGGGAAAGGAGAGAGAGAGACAGAGAGAGAGGGGAAAACCCTGTCTTCTCGCTCATTAGTGAGCTAATCAACCAAGAGCAGAATAATGGGGAGAATGTGAGCCCTGGGTTCCCCAGGAGAGCTTGTATTAACCAGTAGAAAATTAGTCTAAATACGTGTGATGTGCCAGTATCAGATAGTATCAGGTAATTGAAAGAGCTGGTACAATGTATAGCAGTCCATTTCAGTTACTTCTAGTCGGTAGGCATACCGCATGTACAGTGGATATACATGCTGCATGTGTAGTGAGGTATACATGGTTATATGAATAAGATGATGAATAAAGAAATTTAGTAGTATTGGAAGTAGTATGCTGGAAGTCATGGGTGAAACTGAAATTGAAGCCATTCTCTTCATTATCAAAAAAAGTAGTATGCTATCACAGTGCACTTTCTGTCACTGGAGGAATATAATGCTATATGTGTATAGATTTGTGCTGTTGACATATGAAACATCCAAGAGTGGGTGGTAGTGTGTGCTTTGTTTTTACCACTGTGGCTGCTGGAGAGTTAGTCCCTATGGAGGTGCGTATGAGAGAACTGTATCCACCACTGACCAGGGCATAGGTGTAACCTGGCCAGTGATGGATACCATTCCAGCATTGCAAAAGGTGTTTCCTTTAAAGTATGTAAAACAATTGTTAATGGATGTACATCACTAAACACAGTTTCCATGACTGTGAATGCTTGGCTGTCAAAAGACCATAATATTGTGAAAAGATCTACCACTTGCTTCTGCTTGGCCTTATGAGATCTATATCAAATTCAAATGGTGAAAGTCGGTACAACTGACTGTTGTAAAAGGTTAAATAAACCTAATACTTCTATTTAACATGGGAGTTTTGTGTGGGTTTGTTGTTTTTTTTTAACTTCTCACCTGATTCTTGGTAATGTAGCCAAATTCTTTTAGATTTTATGAACTTGACTCCCATTTCTTTGCCCCACAAAAAATCCCAGAGTGACATTGAAGTTTCATTTAAGTGCCTGGGAAAGCTTATACCGACTTCATTCAAGCCTGAAGTTAGCTCAAATTATTATTTTAATTTCCTTTCATTTGATAATATGTTGGCTGCACGTACCTGTATTAAGTGCAGCATGTCTTGTTCATTATGCTCTCAGTACCCACACACTACATGCAAAAACACTTCTAGTGTCTGAGATTGGAATGTGTGTTTCGCTTCACATTTGTACCAAACCAACTGCTATGAACCATTCACTGAGTGAACATTGAAACCTCTTTTTTCTAGGAGCCTTCATTTGAGATGCTTCCATTGACTGGGAAAACAATAATATTTGATAGCTTTCCTGATCCTTCAGATACCTGGGAAATAATTGAGACTATTGGCAAAGGAACATATGGAAAAGTTTTCAAGGTGTTAAATAAGAAAAATGGCAGCAAAGCAGCAGTCAAAATTTTGGATCCTGTTCACGTAAGCTACTTAAATTACTTGGTTTGTGCTTACTTAATTTTAAGTAAATTTATGTAATCTTTTTTTCCTTTTAATCTTGGTACATCATTTGCATTAGAAATGATAGTGAAATAAACTGCTTCAACCTGCTAAGTAAAATATATTTCCTAGCTATCAATGCATTTTTCATATCATAAGTGGTCTTAGAAGTGGTTGCATATGGTAGAAGTCAGAGGTATACCTAAACTTAATTACTTTCACTTTTTGTTCCCATTTGTTTATCTCTTACTTTCAGAAGCAGAGCTGATTGTTTTCCTTTTCAGTACCAGAACTCCCAGCAGCTTCTTCTATTTTTACTGTTGTTTCCTTTCCTTTTTTTTTACATAGCTGGTAAGAAAGTTGCGTACTTCTAAGTGGTATAGATGTATCTTCAAGCATTTATTTGGAGCACATGCTTTTAGCTGAGTTACATGCTATGAGTGATACTTTAAAAATAAAATAGTATACTTTATTTTTATTGTTGTTGGTTCTGCATTTTCAGAATGTGCTGAAATATGTAGATATCAGAGAGGGATCCATCTTTTCAAATGAAAAATACATAGGCAATAGCTCCTACACACAAAGCACCAGGTGACTGGGAGATGGAATTGTTATGTTGTAGAGTATGTTTTTGTTCTCAATAGCTGGCATTTTTTGGGTGGCAAATTAATGCTTAAAGAGTGAGGCAGAACATCAGTCTAGTTTGTGAAGGCAGACCCTGTTGACTTCAGTGGTGCTGTGTGTGGCTTGGGACTTCTCTTGAGAACAGAAACCCACAAAACGTGGACAAGCAGCTGTTTCAGGTGCCCCTTTTGAGCTTGGCTTTTGCACTGTAAAGGGATGTGAGGCATGTGCTTCCGTTGCACGACCTCCTGGCAGGAAGGAAAGAGCATGTCATGCCCTGTGAAACACTGCAGGTCTGGAGCTGTGCAGCCACACAGGGCTCTGTCTACCCCTGTGTATTACACGGTGTCAGATTATCTATGAAATGTGTTTGTGGAAACATAGCATCTTGCATTATTTTTGCTGTGTTTCTTGTTGATCTGTTTTTCATTTCAGCACGCTTTCAAAGCAGCGAAAGGAGACTCATCTGAATTCAATATCATGCACCTCTCCCAAAGTAAACGTGACTTGCAGCCAAGCAATAAGGATCATGATGAACCCAAATGCATTGGAAACTATTTTGGTCTCTGTTGCTTTCTGTAAACAAGGTTCTTGTGCTTGCAAAAAATAGCCAGGACTTTCTTGCTGTTGGTGTCTGTCTAAATGCCTGTATGGCAGGAAATCCTTCTGCTTTCATCTGTTTCACAAGTGTTTAGGAATGATTCTTAAGTGGCAGCTGCCTATGGCAGGGTTTACTGAAGGCATGGGGGAAACTTTCAATTCTGTGTACACTTTGGCGGTTGTAGGAAAAGGATAAAGAATGATGACAGGAAGAAAAAAGAGGTAGTAAAGGTGATGCTATGGGAAAGAGAAATAGATTAGGTAGGAAATAAGGGAGTAGAATGTGAAAATTTGAGAAGAAAAACATAGATGAAGGTGCAACATAAGAAACTGAAGAAGGAAAGATGAGTAACAGATGAAAACAAATTCCTTATTTTAATGGAAAACCAGAAGTCAGTAATGCAGTCAACATCATACTCCAAGACTTGAATTTTTTAACTGAATATATTCTCCTTTTTATTCTAAGTATACTGTTCTTCTTTTCCCCCGTTTACAGGAGGTCTGGAGTAGCTGCTAAAATGGCAATCCAATATTAGAATAGGAAATAAATACAAAAGGAATAAACTAGTTCTTTTTTTTTTTAACTGAAAATATTATTAATGGCTGCAGAGGGAGCCATTGCAGTGAAGAAAAGGGTACTTTCTGTATTTTCTTATTTAAATTTTACTTTTTATTTCTTTGAAGATGGTTTCAGAATTGTGCCACTGGAGAAGTGGACTGAAAAAAAAAGGCAGAAGAAATGTACTCTTATATCACTTGATTTAACTGATATTTCCAAATTAAACTGTGAAACTACATTATCTTTGGTCATGTGAAACTGAAATAAGCATTTCATGCTTAATCCTTTAGGGCTCTCAGATTCTTTGTGTTATATAACAGCTCAGATTTTTGAAACTGAAGCAGGAAAGTGAAGGTGTTGAAATTAGAACATACGAAGATGTAACTGAGGATGCTCTTAGTCTTGTCCTCAAGGCTATAAGTAAATACCTTGTAGTTTAGGGCTCTTAGCCAAATTGTCCTATATCTAAGTTCACATAAAAATATTCCCCCTATCATTTCTAAAAGAAGTACTGCCTTTGGCTTTGTTTTGTGCAGGTAAATAAGTTCAATTCAATCAAATATTTCAAGTTCTCTTCCTTCATAAAATGCCGAGAAAGATTTTTCTTTCTAGTATGCACAGAATTAATTTTCTATTCATTTATTCTCTTGCTTTTCATTTATCCTCATAATAGTAAAAATCTCATAAAATCTGAGTACCTCTCTCTCAGAAGACAGAAACTTCTGTTAAATCACAGTAGGACAGTGGGCTAATTCTCTTCCGGTTTCCCCAAGGCAGCCAGGGCTATTTTATGTTTTGTGTGTATTGTTTTGGCTTTCAACTCTGGGGTTTTGGTGGGTTTCTTTTGCTTTATGATCTGTCTTTTTGTTTTTACCAGGTGTATTCTCTCTCTTCATCTTGTCTTATATTCTACTCTTTCACTTTCCTTCCTCTACCACCTTCAATACCTTGGTTCGTTCTTCCTTCCTTGCTTCTCTTTTTTTTTAATTGGCTCTATTCTGCATTGTGCTTATGAGAAAATTAACTTACAATGGGTTCCTCCTTTTTTTGAAAGAGGAAAATTTCTGCTGTTTTTTGACTACTCCAATGAAAAACATCTCTAAATCCCCTCCTTGCGAGAAGATTTATTCTTGTGATCTTGCTATGAAAGTTTAACAGCCCAATTCATAAAGACCGTGGTGACAGACAAAGTTCTTTGAGACCATTTAAGAAATAGCCAAAGGCTAATATGAGGAACTTGACTTAAATTTAGCATTGGAGAAACCTCCATAAGAAACAAGTAAGCAAAATCCTCTTACAGACAAATGCCATTGATGGTGAACAAAATGAGAAGTGAGTAGCATCATTCATCTGGACTGCAAAGCATCCCTTTTCTCTGCTGTGGTTGCTTCTATTTGGCAGTGGTGAGGCAGGTTTTCAGCACTGAGTAAGTGCTTTTCATTGGTATGAAATCCATTCACATGGACAGTGAAGTTCATAGGTAGCCTTCCTCTAGAACTGAATTTTCAGTTCTCTGTTTTCTTTTTGGGTGGATGTAAATAGCAAATTGTATTTAAAATGTTTTAAATTTGGGAATAACTATGTTTTAAATCTGGGAACAAGTATGTTAAGATTTTTTTGAGATCTAAATGGTGGGAGAAAATTACTGCAGCTCTTCTGCCTCTACCTGTGGCCAGGAGGGATTGAATATTTTCTCAGAATGGCTGAAAGAGTCTGATAGCATCCCTCAGTGAGCTCTTCCAGTGCGTAAGTGGAAGGGATTACCCGAGTCATCCAGTGCCCACCATTGCTTGCATCCATGTTTGGCCTGAAAGGCTTGTGCAGCAGGTGCTGACAAAACTTGCCCTCATCTCTCTCCTTCAAAGGAACTTATCTTGCTCTCTGTGTAAGAAACCCAAGGTCTGTAATGAAAAACTGGCAAAGCCACAGCTCTACAAGTTAGTGCGAGAAGCCACAGAGATCATGGATGTCACCAATTTCAAGGACAGTAGAAAATTTGAAAAATTTACAAATTATTCTAGAAAGTGAGATGATGAATAGGATGTGGCTGCAGTCGTACTTGTTTGTGCACAGAGGGGTACAGAGATTCCAGCTGTACCATCTCTAGCTGGGAATACGCTTGAGATTAGAGAAGTGACTTGTGGCTTCTCAAGGCATCTGCATGCTCTCCCAAAACCTCTCTGGTCTTTACCTACCCACTTGTGGATTGCACTGGCTTTGTCTTGAAAGGCTCCTTCCCCATTCTTCTGAGGGCTGCTCTGTCATACCCCCTGTGTTTGTTAGTTCAGATTGGTAAAGACCAAATGACTGTTTTGTATTGAGTAAACAGAACCAAGCTTTGTAGCCCTGCAAACGGTACATTCATGTTCTGTTTGATTTTTTTTTTCTTTACATTTGTTCAAATTACTTTTGAATAGCCAGAAAATGCTATGTATCTGTTTGGGTTTTTTTAAAGGCTTTCATTATTTATTAACTGCTATGTATTTCTCATTTGTGATTCTAGGATATTGATGAAGAAATTGAAGCTGAGTACAACATTTTGAAAGCTCTCTCTGATCATCCCAATGTAGTCAAATTCTATGGCATGTACTATAAGAAAGATGTGAAAAATGGAGACCAGCTTTGGCTAGTTCTTGAGGTAAATAATTCAGAAAAATAACTT